TATTTGACTGATGTTTGTAGAAGGTGATTCCCAATCGAAGAACACACAAATTTAAAATTGACATTCATTATTGAGACATTTTAATTTTTTTGGGGTGAACTTTTAAAAAATTTGACTTGTTACCAGGCTTCTTGGATTTCCTCCAAATGTTGATCCAGTATACCAGTAACAGTTTTTAAATTAGACTCCATTAGGATTCATCCTCTATCACTCTTTATTATTATTGAATATGAATTATGAAACAAGTTGATAAAATTTAATTTTCCATCTGGTGATGGACAGAGAGATTTTTCCACGACAAAAACACAATTATAGTACAAATTTTGAATCTTGATGTTATATTTTTGGGATACTCGATGGAAATTTTCCTTGTCGCAGGAGAAATCTTCTGTACATTTTATACAGGGTGCTGCATCAGTCTTTCAATATAATTAAATCGTTGGCCAAACAATTACTTATGTATATTTGGTATAAAATGGAAGCTTTTTTTTTGAGATGTTACATGAAAGTTGGACCCTCCATTTTCAAAATCTTATCCCCTCCAATCTGACCGAAGAAGTTGTGGCAAAAAAATAAATCGTACAATGTCTAGAAAAATAATTTGATTGAAAATATTCCACAGAATTGATTGTTGTTAAAATGTCTTGTAGCGCTTTTTATATCGAATTTTATTAACAGTAATTATACGCATTATTTATAGTTTATTATTGTTATAGATTTTTTATAATAGTTGTTATTTTATTGAATTATTTGCACTCATTAATAACGCGAATGCATCGCCCTGTATATGACAGATCATTTTTTATTCGACTTTCATACTATACAATGTATATAAAACGCAAAACTGGAGACTATATTCATTTATAAGTTTGTATCTATTTATTGTAATTTGTAAATATAACATGTGGATTTTGGGTCCCTAAATGTTCTATTGAAATTTTTTGTCTTTATTATTATGACATGATTTTTTGTATTCAGTAATATCACGTACTACTCTAATTGAATTTGTGCTATTATATTTTAAGTCATCTGCGAATTAAACATAATATTCCAGAAGTGAGGCAATATTTTCACTGATTTTATTTATTTAGAATAAATCATTGAAGGAAGGTCGCATTTTGATTAAACTTTTCTCAGAATAAAATTCTGTTATTAGCTGAGTTATGTTAACTTTTTGAAGCACGAAGTCGGGCCGTACTAACACGGCCAGTGTTGCCAAGACATTTTCATGTGAGGTAGATTTAATAATTGTTATAGAGAAAATTGGGTTATCGGTGGATTTTCAACACCCAAACAGAGGCCAACCAGGAGATCTTCTGCAAAAACATTAGGCCTGTCAACACTGAATACGGCGCTCCTCTCATGCGATTTCTTCTTCATCTGCAGTGGACTGATTCGCAACACCCTGCAATCTAATTGCATTAGACTTTGTTCTGAAAAATTAAATATTCTCGCTTGTGGCATTGTAAATAACACTGTAATGGATGTCTCGATAGTTATTATGCTATTCTTGACGGAGATAAATCCAACAAATCAAAAATTATTGAAATCGATCCAGTCGTTCTTGACACGGTTTTGTGTATTAGATGTATTCAAAACTAATAGATGAATTAGAAGTGAAGCAATTGAATTTCCTCCAAAATCCACAAAATTAACTCGCCAAGACTTCTTTCTTGATTGGTAACCCCAATAATATATGATCTAGAGTTGAAAATGGTTTTTAGACTTTGGTGCAAAGTGAAAAAAAATTATATCACAATTTTTCTTTGTAAGGTACTTCAATAGATTTCTGTCATACAAATATCAGGCAGATGGATATGGTGAAAGGTTACTGTTATTGTTGTTCTTTGGCCGTCTTTACGCTCCCGAAGAAGCCATTGTATAGCGAAACACGTGTTGCGTTTCTTTAAAACTGTTTAGTGAAAATCTCACAATAAAGTATTTTTTGAATACATCTATTGATATTTCTTTGAAAACGACGTTGGCCAGGCAATCACTGTCAACGACGAGCACTATAGGTCGATTAATACCAACTTCTGAACACCAACAACATGTGGTTTCAACAGGACGGCCACATTGGATATGAGACTTGAGGTCATGATCATCTCAAGTGGAAATGATATGAACTGGCCACCGAGATCGTGCAATTTGACCCCGTTAGAGTTTTTTTTGTGGGGATTTCTCAAGTCACAGGTATATGCGAATAAGTCACAAACCACAGCGGTTCTCAAAGCCAACATAATCCATGCCATCGTTCAAGTTTTCGGATGCGCTCCTACCAGAGAAGCCGTGGCCGACATTTGAACGATAGCATCAATAGGTTTTTCAGACGAATAAAAAATTTCAATGATATCTCACACATACTTTGTTTAAATTAAATTTAAAGATAGGAAGCGTTTAATGAGAGGCCCTATATATAAAAAAAAATAACAAAATTAGATGTGACTGAACAACCCTACTGTATTCTACTTCTTTCCATAATAGCCCTAGTTTTTTTCAGAAAGGTTCAACGTTTTCTACTACATTCCCTTCAAAATATGCTATCACAGTCATCTGGTAAATGCCTGAAAATATTACTCAAATTGCTAATGGGAAGTAGCAGTATGTATGAAATTGATGTGACCAAAATAATTTTTCAATAATTGTACAGATATTCAAAATAAATTGATCTCATGTATACTTGAAACACTAACTTCAATGATGGGTTTTAACAGATCTAAATAAAAAACCTCACAATGATTTAGCAAGGACACATTATCTGAAATTCAATAAAATTATTAGTCACTTGATTACTTCATCAGCACAAACTGAATATATAATTTTAGTAACACAAATCCATGTCAACACTGAAATATAAGCACAAAATGTCATGTAGAACTGTCATAAGATTATGTTGCCTTCAAAGTATCTCGAAATAAAATGAAGATTTTCCATGAAGTTGATCAAAATACATACTTTACTTGCAGCAAACGGAATATCTATCCTATTTGGAATCAGCCTTATAGTAACAGGAACTATCAAATGGATAGAAGATATTTTCGAGGCATTCGAACAAGACTTGAAAAACTCAGAGGAGTGGTGTTTATTCTTAGGTTCCTTCACAGTAGGCAACTCCCTATTAGGAATTGTTGCGGTGTTTACAAGCGGAACACCCACGAGGTGGTTGCGGTGGCTACACTACGCATCTACTTTCATAATAATTTGCAGTCTTATCGCCTGCGCAGATATGTCAACACATATTCAACAGTCCTTAGAGGAACAGATGAAAATTCACTATGCTGAGCATACCATCTTTAAATCTGAAGTGGACAAGATGCAAAGAACTCTTCAATGTTGTGGGTTCACATCCCAGGCAGATCCAGAAATACAAAGGGGAAATTTACTTATTGAGAGCTGCTGTCCCGAAAAAGTCAAGGAATGTACGAAGTCCGAGGCTTATGAAAGCAACTGTTCCAGTAAAGTTTTACGTATCTGCCCTTTCAGTAGAACCATCACTGTCTTAGCTCTTCTCACGGCATTTTCCCTTATCGCACTCCTTATAGGTATTTTAATCTTGAAGTGTGAGCTCAAAATAACCAGGCAGGAAAACTCTATCACGGAGGACTTGATGGAAGATTTGGATCTCACGGACTTTGCTGGTTCAATTGCTCCCAGTCGTAATGAAAGGCATGATTTATTCACGTAATAAGTATATATCAAGTAACACTGTGGTATTGAATTTCAAAAAAAAACAATTATTGTATAAAGCACACTTCATATCATTTCAAAATACTCCATTGAATGTGAAGAAATTTTTGCCAACTTTCTGTAAAATTGTATGTAGAGGTTTTTGGGGTTAGTTATAATTTTTCTAAATTGGAAAAATAAAATATATAGGACCATTACTGTAATGCTACTTAGGAGTGTCAAATGTGAGTATGTCATATACCTATTGATTTGTTGATATTCACTTTGCTTATGTTTAAAGCTGGATCGAGGAATTGACATTTTTGGAGTCAATTTTGTTTCAAAATAGCTCTCATTTTAATTATAAATAATTTAAAAAATTAAGCTTGATCTAATGAAAAGCATTTCATTAATAATTATCATAATGAAACTCTGAAACAAAACAGTAGTAAAGATTGGTAATTTGATACCAAAGTTGATGAATTTTTCAATATTTTTCCACAAATCTCATAGATTGTTTAGCAATGGATATGTTCTCTAGCAATAGCCAGTTCAATGTAATTAGGTTTAACAAACTACTTGTTCCAATGATGTTCGCATGAATTATTTTACATAATTGTTTCAATATTTTGAAAATATCAACAAATAACATTTAAGGATAAAAGTAGCAATACTATTGTTTTATTTCCCTTATTTAATAAATTATAATTATTGAGTTCATGAAATATAATCAACAGGTTTGTTCATCTGATGTTAACTTGGTTTATGAAACATGATTTTTTAATGTTCCGCAATCTAAAAAAATAAATAAAGCTAAATCAACAAGAAACTATTTTGCTGTGTAATAAATGGCAAACAGAAAAGTTACTGTGTGATATAAACCACTGAAGAGTCCAATGGTCAAAAACTTGTATTGATTTTGCCTACAAATCAAATATTTAGCTAATTTATTTACATAGCTTTCCTCAAAAAGCTTCATTTTTCTGATTGTGTAAGTTTAAAAAATTCAGAAAAGCAGTAAGAAACATTGATTCCTTCAATGTCCTCCAAAATGTCTTTCAAAGAATAATAGTTATACAGTTCTAATGTTAAAAACCAGTTTTCATGATCTATAAATTAGATTAAGAGATATTTCATTTGCAATAAACCTCTGGAAAATCTATTTGTTTTCAGAAAATCTGACACCATAATTCAGCTTCTCATTTGTGATTTCAACTTAAGTATGATCATTTTATAGACAAAACCTGTGCATGTGTGTGTTTTTTCTAGTAAAATAATTACCTTCATTCATATTTTCTAACTGAAGACAGATTTAATAACAGAACTGTAACGACTTTACTTCAATAGACATTGTAATTACTTTATTAAATGTGTAAATGAATAACATGGAGGGATTCAGAGAGTCATTTTATATTTCTCATCCTAAGTTCATGTAACAAAAAAGCTTTCATATTGGAATCGGTTACTTTCTCATTGATTTCTTCCAAAGCTTTATGCCCACCATCTTTGAAATATTCAGCGAGCTCTTCTGCATATTCCAGCCAGACACAATTTGCACAACCAGACATACAGCAAGTTGTAGGTTCTTGTGGATACTTCCTTGGTTTACTAGGATCACCTCCCTTGTTTTCGGAGCTATTTGAGTTGCTATTATTCCTACTCGTAGCTTTTCTATGTACAATTCTTAGACCGCGATACACTTTTTTTGTTGTGAAAGACAACATTTCTTCCTGAAACAATATTACTTCAAGTCATCTGTGTTGAATTGTTTACAAATAATTTTTATTATAACATCAATATTTGAACCTGTTATGTAATATTGTTTATTACTCGAAGTTAGCATCGTCACGAGTTATTTGTAACTTTCTGTATTACAATTTTTCTAACTACTACTCCACTTCAATCACTCTTGTTGTTGACTTCTTCCTTCTTTACATTTTGTAACCTAAAAATTATAAAATTTAAAATCTGCTTGCTTGCACAAAGCTCATGATAATCATTAATTCTATTCTGTCCACAAACCATTTACTCTATAGTGGTTTGTGGTTCTGTTCATAAAAATTATAGGTAGTATACAAAGATAGTATACCTATATCATCTCCCTATAAACAATCAGGAATCTGTCTCTCTCACAGTAAAATGATGACAAGGGGACTGAGGGAATTGTATACATAAAACTCTGGACTGGATCCAGGGGCGTGCAGAAAATATGTTAAGAAATTTAGAAGTATCTATAAATGAATATTTTTAGTTGCAATGATTTTATTATTACATTTTATTTAACTTCAAATTGTTTAGGTCAGTTTTCAACCACTTCCAGTAATCGACTTAAATTTGACAGGTAGGTATTCATCATTTGGGTGACAAGGCATTAAGTTTTTAATTAAAAAGACAAACAAGACGATGGACGAGTGTTGTGAATCAATATCAGATTTGAAATTAATATGTGGGTATTTTTGGGCTCAGAGATTATAAATGTTTTCTTAAAAACTCAATATGGCAGACAAGTTTGTGATTTATGGTACGAGAGTCTGCAAAATTAATATTCAGGGGTCTGTGGTTGGAGATCATTAATTTTTTATGAAAATCCCAGATGGCGGACTAGTTTTGTAATTTATGGACAGATTCTATTCAGAATTAGAATCCAAAAGGCTTTTGAGGTCAGAGATTTTGAATTTTGGGTTGAGATTCAAGATGAGTTTTGTGACTTATGATCCAATTCTAGTGAAAATACCAAATCAAAGTGTTGTTTTTGGGCCCGGAAATTATGAATTGTTTGTAAAAATTCAATAATTTTAGATTGAAGACGAATTTTGTAATCAACTTTCTGTAAAATTGTATGTAGAGGTTTTTGGGGTTAGTTATAATTTTTCCAAATTGGAAAAATAAAATATATAGGACCATTACTGTAATGCTACTTAGGAGTGTCAAATGTGACACTCCTAAGTAGCATTACAATGTCAAGAATTCATAAGTGCGTACGAATTTTTGATGTACCTGTAGATAGTCCAGATATGTTGAATATTAGTGACTGGGGGTTCCATAATTGAAAAAAATATTAATAAAACACTTTTTAAAACAAGACTTTATTCGAATGCCCTAAACAAACAATACAAATGGTCTCATATTTAACAATATTAAAAAAAATTATTAGATATAACAATAATTTACAAATCACGATACGTACATAAGTAACAGGCACCGCAGGCACCCCTTCATCATCAGCGCCCCAGGCCTTAATTTTTTTTCATATCATGGAAAATAAAATAAACAATTGACATTTGGATAGATTGAGTTATATAGTAATAGAATTATAATTTTGTGCTATCATGAAATAATTATTTATCAAAATTACTTAATTGATTTCCATTTGGATTGAATTTGAAATATGTTCATGAACTAAAATCATACCTATCATAGCGATTCGTATTTTTGAGTAAAATCGAATATCAAATACAAAAATATATTCATCATGTGATAACAAGAAAAAATTATGACTTTTTATCACGTACTTTTTGTAAATTACTTTGTTTGGGGTACTTCAGAAATTGTTCACTTTGTTTTCAGCTTCTGTTCATCGACGGAAAATTATAACATACATACGTGTGACATACGTTGGGAAACAAGAAAAAACATTGTCAAAGCAGTGCGCTACCAAGTTTGTGCCAATGGCCAATTATATTGGCTATTGAAACTCAAAAAACTGATCTTCAAATATCCCATGACGCTACTCTCTTATTCAATCAGCTTCATAGTTTCACTAATTGTTTAGTTTGAGACACTACTGGGCTTTCTTAGGAGAATATGTGGAAAAAATTTGAGGTTTGATTATTCTTTTTCTGGTCACTACATTAATTTCAGTTGAAGAGAGATTTGAACAGTCAAACAAGTAGGTTTGACTGTTCAAATAGTTAGGAATCTTGGTCTCTTTTGTACCTACTGTATAAAAAGAATACTGATTTCACTGGGAAAGAAATAATCGAGAAACGAGCATAGTCAGTGGAAAAATTTAATGCAATGAACCAAAAAACATTCATTTTTGTCGAAACATCTGAACTGGCAGTCACCCTACGCTAGAATTCTTCCCAGTCCATGCTCTCTACGGTTATCTGGGCCCTATCTTCACTAATATACACATCTCCCAGTCCAAAAGTACTGAAATATTCCCATTCCATCCTCTCCTGTATTTCTGGAACTTTATCTGCTTTGGGATCTTGCGGAGGCTCACCTATTGGAGATATTTCGTTGATCGGGGAATTCAGTGAGTTATTCATCATTGCACACTGCACTTTATTTAAGGTGTTAGTAACCAATACAATATCCCGCAATGAATGATTTCTACTAGAACTGAATTTGCTCAATTTTTGCAAACACATCCTCTGGCCGGTCACATTGCATTCAACATTCGGTTGCGACTCTTCTTTCAATGTTCCTTCAAGCTTTTTCTGAAAATTTGAAATTTCACAAGTGTCCGTTGTAGATTTATTGTTCCTAATCGGAGTACAACTTCCTAAGAAGTTAGCTTCTTTTCTTGAAAATGCATTATTTAATACATCTACGAATTCTTTATATGTCTCTTCTACTGCTCCATATACTGATACATTGGTCTGGGCATGTCCTACCGTAGAAAAATTTTGGCTTTCCATATTTCGAAATGTTTTTAACGTGAAACGAACAAAATCATAAAATCAATCTGAACCTCACCGATTTATCTGTATAAATGTAATGACTAATGAATATTGAGATATTTAACCTATTCTAATGAATGTACCTAATCAGCTTGGCCACGCCCCGTTCTTAGATTGACCAATGATGGTGTGAGAAGAAACCCTAGTCAGTAATAGGTACTGTAGACAGGAATATATTTGGCATACCTGATAAAAATTAATTGGAATTGTTAGATCTTCAAATTATCCATACTGACATTCAATTTGAAATAGAATATTCTTTAATTTCCCAAAACCGACAATTTAACTTCATTTCCATTATTCAAAACGACAAAAATATCTATAAACTGATAGTAAAATAATGAAATAGAGAAATAAAAACTCAACAAAACCATATTATGTTAAAATTATTATTATTTATTTAAATGTGTTAAATTATGTTAAATGTGTACCTGAGTTAAGGAATAATCAATATATACATTAACATAAGTGAGAAACAGAAACTGTACAAACTCATTTTAATTAACCTTTACCAGGTATCACCAAGTATCAGTTAGGTAATTACAAGATTCCACATTTGAAAAAATAACAAGTAACAGGGAGACAATGATTTCAATTAACTGATTCCGAATAACTTTCATATTATCTATCATTATGAACATACACTCTCTCAGGATACTTCGCTATCCATTGTAATGGTGAATGTGGAATTTCTTGAAGACTGGAAATATCTGTAGGATTACCAACTGATACATTCTGGAAAAGTGTTGAAAAATGTTTCCAGGAGATCGAATAAAAAAAGGAGAATAGTAACAGGGAGTTATTTAATTCTATTCAGTCATTCAGTAACTTTCCTGAATTTTTAAATCTATATATTTCTAAAATACTTATTATCTGCCAAGCTTTTTTATTAATTACTTTTTTCAGGGCAGCTGAAGTACCTGGATTACATCTCATACGGATTTAAACTAATAAATGTATACGAATATAAGTCAAATATAAATCATGACCCATTGTAAATAATGATACTTCGACATATTGATTCTTTTTTCAGGATAACATATTTATGATTAGACCATAAACATGAATTTTCACTTATACACGATGTTCCATTCCACCAAATGATTCAAAATAGGTATTTGTTGTGAAGTTGTAGCTCCCTGCCTCGGTTATTTTTGAGTAACTAGACTTTTCAACTGCAGTTAATTCTCCAGAGAGCAATACATATGGAGTTATTGCCTGGATACTAAAAATAATATGTATCTTGAGGAGACCGGGGCAGGTTGTAACACGGGGTTAACGCTAGTTGCACACATACCGATTTTGGACGGCCGACTTTGTACGGGTCGTCCAAATTCCAATAGTGAACCGCATGTGGGAACGGGACCTGGCACACACGCCGATCGGTGATCGTCGCCGGTAAAATACCGGTGAGCAGCCGTCCACTGCCACTGTATCGCCGGCAGTACCGGGAAGTAGTGGCGTACATGACTAAATACACTCTTGCATACTCACCGGTTTTTTACCGACCACTCCAGTCTCGAATGTTCGCTGAAATTGTAGTTACTACGCATTAATTTCGTTTTGGTAGTGCGTGCTAATTACGACAACAAATCAACTGGTTGTTTGACCGATAAAAATCCGGTGAGTGTGCAAGCACCCGTTACCAATAAAATATCGGCCGATTTTATACTGGCCGTCCAAAATCGGTGTGTGTGCAACTAGCAGGTGTAACAGTCGCAAAATCTCCTGAAAGTTTATTCTGGCAACCCCGCATCATGCACGGGCTTCTAGGGTTATCAGTACTAGTTTCACTTATGCGGCCAATCGTATACATCGGTGTTACGTTTATTTCTGAGACTGTTAATATTTTGAGCACGTAAGTAAATTTTGATCTAGCACTTTTACTTCGATTAACTACTATCACAAACCGGTGAAGCTTTCGCTTTTTTGACACAAACCAGTCATTGCACATTGTCTGATCACAGTGTATACGTATTTTAGTGATATGATGTTTTCTTCAAAATTTACCGAGATAATCCTTATAAAATCAAGCTCGGGGTAAATTGTAACAAACTGCTCGGGGCAAAATGTAACATGTCACCACTTACCCCGCTAAAACAAACATGCAGTTTACTGAAATATCACTTGCTTTTGGGATGAGGACGTATAAGAAAAAAACAAACAGAGGTTCTACTTCTGAAGAAGACATGGAAAAGGCCTTACACAAAGTTATACACAACAAAGAGTCAATTCGCTTAGTGGCAAAAGATTTAGATACATGTCATGTGATTCTCATGAGGTATGTTAAAAAGGCAAACGTTTCGGAGGCTCCTATCAAATTCAACAGTGTAGACTATCACCGAAGACCAGTTTTTAACGATAAGCAAACCACCAGTCTAGTAGAATATTTGAATTATTTGAATTATTTCGGTTTGACTCCCAAGGGAATTCGTAAATTGGCCTATGAGTGTGCCTTGCCTTATGATATTAAAGTTCCAAACTCCTGGAAGGAAAACAAGTG